ACCACCTTTCCAGGATTCGTCTCCCCATTTCCATCTGTCACCTATTTGTAAATAACTAGCCATGTCTATCTGGGTATGTGGTGACATTTTTGGGGGGTTGGGGTCCACTGACCCAAAGAAAAATCAGTCAGGGGTTGCACACAAGTGCGAAGCAAAAATAAAAACAAAACCCTGCACCCTTCTCTGACATGGCCCCTGACTGAGGAGACAGACACTCCCCACATTCCCATCACACACCAGAGTCTAGGGCAGTGGTCCCCAACCTTTTGGGGCTGCAGAGCGCCCCGGGGCAGGGCCACACATGTGCCACACACCCAGGGCTGGCCCCACACATGCGCCGCACGCCCGGGGCCCGGAGCGCAAGAATGGCTTGGGCTGACCCTGATCACTCGACAGGCGCACATAAATGCCTGGCGGGTGCCATGGCACCTGCGGGCACCACATTGGGGACCACTGGTCTAGGGGGACCCAGGCTAGTAGATTTTGTGTGTGCTAGCCCTGCGATGGGGCAGCAAAGGAACAAGGGGGCTTGAGTGCCAGCCCAAACTTCCAAATGCTGGGGAGAGCCCTGAGCCTTGGGGGCCAGATCCAGACAAGCCAGGGGCTGCATCCAGCCCTTGGGCCTGAGGTTCCCCACCCCGATATAGAAGATAAGTAACAGGAGAACAAAGGATGTGTATGTATGAGATGTAGCAGCACAGGTTGCCAGGCAGGATCTGGTCCATGAGGGAAGCCAGTTTAAAACCGGCTAAAACATGGACTGTGCTGTCGTCCTGTGCTGCTGCCTCTGAAAAAGAGGCAGCACTGCAGGGTGGCAGTTGCCCCTGTCTGGGGGATTGGGAGAAATGAGTCTGAGCTTCTGGACCCAGCAGGAACTGTAACTGAACAGGGCTGCCTGCCCTCCTGGCTCCTAATACACTTTAAATGCAGAGCCACAGCGGGGGTAGATCCCGGACTTAGTGGGGGGGGGGGGATGCATGTAGTCTATAGCATTAATCTATAAGCTTTTGCTTATTGGTTAATTATTTAATTGTCTATACAATTACATCCCTATTTTGAAGTGCTTAGAAGAGAAAGATAAAACACAAGGAAAAAGAAATTACTGCATATCAATATTGCATAATCCTTCAGACAGACAGTGCAATGTTTAATAAGCAACCAGGAGTCTGGCAAAAAGGCTCAGCACCCTGTTATTTCCATATGCACCCCATTCAGTTTACATCTGCTCAGGCTTCTAATAACATCACTTTTGTATTTAGTATGCTCAGTTGCATAATTACTTCCATATTAGCATTGCATACTCTCATGAGCCTAGTCACTTTGATACTAGTAACATATCTATCCTTATCCACTATGAATTACATGGTAAATTAGTATCAGTCCTCATTTTTCATGGGCAGCTTTGTTGGGTTTTTTATATGTAATCACATTTTCTACTTAAACCTGCTTTAGATTTATATCAGTTAAAAAAAACCTCTCCTATTCTGCATGAATTGTTTGTTTCTGTAAATATTTTTGTGTTGTAATATTTGTCTCCAGCAAGTGATATGTGGAAAGACAGATTTATTAATCTAAATGCATCGACAACTCCTTGGATTTAACAAAGTAGCACCTTTTCATAACAAGTGTTATTCTGGCACTGGTCTAAGAAATGTGATGGTGCTCTCTGAGAATGAAAGCAACCTTAATTTTATTTTCTAGAGTTCCTTCATAACTCTTAACAGGAGCTTAGAGTTTAAGCCTCACTACCAGTAGACGTGGAACCACATTCCTTTTCAAAACATCAGCAGTCCAGTGCAGCTATCTGTAATCCTTATCCTCAGTCTCCTTGCTTGTAATAATCTTCTAAGATGATTATCTATGCTGTCCTCAAAAGAAAGCTTAGTAGTCATGGTAGGAAAGCTGTCCAACTGGGCTTAATCAATGGTATGGCTTTTCTATTACCCAAGTCTCTCCTGCCCTTTGCTGGCTCTGCCAATCTTGTGGAGACACAGCAATTTAATTAGTTGTTATGCCCTTAAACATTTGGTTATGTAGCCAAAATTACAGCACTGATAAAGCATCAAAACACTTCCACAGTTGTGAACTTTTGACTACAGCATAACTCATGCTAAGGTTTCATACCCCTCTCGTGATTGCTCAGCCTGAAGGAAAGCAGTCTGCAAGCTGAAGGATACTAGCTGCCAGCTAATGGAATTGTTCCAGTGGCAGAAGTCTATGCTGCAATGCTGAAAGTAGAGCAGGTTGGGAAATGTTAGTCAAAATGCTTTTTTTTTTTTAAATCAGAAAATGCAAATTCATCAACATCAAAACATTTCGTGGAATGATTCAATTTACATTTTCAGGATGTCAGGGCCAGGCTGGAATTTTGAAAGCGCACCTGGATTGTCACCCCGCAAAGTCATGGGACTGCCTTGTTAATCTCCTCCATGTGCTAGACAATATATAAAACCAAGATGAGGATATTGGACAGGGAGGCACTGTGTAACTGGGAGGCCTATTTCTGCACCTCCCTTCAATCATGCCGTCTAGGCACAGTTCCTCTGGGCCACATGCACTGGATTCTTAGACACTTTTGAAGACCAGTAAGCACTGTCCAGAGTTTATGTTTGATGGCCCCTCAAAATCCCTGTGTGTGGTCCTGGAACTCTCATTCTCATTCTTGTTGATCATCTGCTGTCCCCCAAATTTAGTTGAGCCTTGGGCTTAGTGGCTTCTCCCCTTGGACTGGGAGAGGAGCTTTCAGTTGCCCATCTTTCTGAGACTTCTATAGGTGATTTAGTGCAGAGACTTAAATCTGGATCTCAATAATTAAGGGGAAAATTCTACAATATCTTGGACCTACATAAATTGGAGAGACTCTGGCATACAGCGTGGTGCGCAGTGGAGAAGATGATGCTAGGAAAAAAACGTATGATATACTGTGCCCCTTTAGAAATAGCAGCTGATTGTGTAATTATAGTTTCTGTTGTTCCCACACACCAGAGAGGAGGGAAGGTTTTAAGTGCATTTGCAGTGATCACACCATACATTCTGAATGCTCAAGCATAGCATTCTCTTACAGTTGGGCAGTGCCCAGCAAACCCCTTTCTCTCAGGGCTGCCTTCTGCCTTTGACCTCTTGAGGTCTACTACTCTCCTTAGGCTTCAACCAAAGACACAGCACGTGTTTGTAAAGGCTGATAACTGTAACAGGACATTTGGCGGGCAGCACGGCCTAGTGGTTGGAATGCTTGATTTCCAGCTTCCTGTTTGGTTGAGATGCCTCAGTCTTTAAGGTGGGGGCTAGGGGTCATCTTTCTCCTCATTAGACTTCTCTCTAGGGATGTCAATGTGGAGTTAGCTACATGATTAACCGATAAGGTTGGGCTTATCAATTAATCCTGTCAACTACACACACACCCTGTATCAAAGGCAGCAAGGTGGGGGAGGCAGGAGCTGGTGCCCACCAGAAGCTGACTTCTAAGCTGACTCCCCATGAGCTATGTATCCTGTGGAGATGCCTGACCCTTCCCCCAGTGCTGCTGCCCCTGATACACAGGCAACAGTGAGGAGAGTGAGTGGGGGCAGATGAGAGCCAGTACATGTGGGAAGCTGGCTTTTAAGCTGACTCCCCATGCATATTGGCTCCCATAGAGTCGCCTTCCCCTCGCCCCCTGCTCTGCTGCTTCTTTATCTGAGGCAACAGAGAGGGGGAAGGAGGGACAAGTGGGAGCTGATCCACATGGGGAGCCGGCTTTTAAGCTGGCTCTCCATTTATGCCAGTTCTGCAGAGCCACGTGCTTCCCACAGAGGCAGTGGGAACGGGAGGAGCATGTGGGAGCTTGTGCTTGGGGGGGCCAGCTCCCCACAATCATTGGCTCTACCTTCTCGGGGGGGGGGGGGACAGGGGAGACTGCTGTGGAGCTCCGTCTCCCATGGACAGGGGCTGCTGTCACCTCAAGCTGCTGCCTTTGATACAGAGGCAGGAGTATGGGGTAGCAGGTGGCTCCTTGGGAGTTGGTCCAGGAATGCACTGGCTGTTGGCCTGCCCCAGGGACTATCGAATAGTCATGTAACTGCTAACATTTGATGCCGTTACATGATTATTCAATTGCACGGTATCTAAGATCTCTACTTCTACCATATCCCCCTTTTAGTTATCTGTTCTCCCAAGCTAAAAATTCCAAGACTTATTTTAATCTCTCTTCATATGGCAACTGTTCCATACCCCTAATAATTTTTGTTGCCCTTTTCTGATCTTTTTCCAGTGCCAATATATGTTTTTTTGAGATAAGGTTATTATATTTGTACACAGTATTCAAGATGTGCTTTTTTAGGTGGCAAAGCTTGGCTATGTATAACTGAAAAGGTAATTTTGAGCGATTTGGAGATTGTTCAATCATTCGCTTGCTTTAATTTTTAAAGTTTACTTTAGAATTGTGTGGTTGAACTGAAACAAGCAATCCCTTAATTTCACTGGCAGATAAATTTTATTGGAGATACAGTATCTGTATTTTAGGAGCTATAATTCCACATTAGTGCCAAACTCACCAATTCAGAATATCACAGAACTATGATAAAAGTTTGCCTTTATACCATGGTTGTGATTACACCCCAAATGAATGTACCTAATTTATTATTTTATTAACTCTTGATCAATCGTAACATCCCCTGTTCAGGTTTTTGACATTGTAAACACTATAATCTAAACATTTTTATTTTGCTTTCTGTAACGTCTCATTAGCTTTTTAAATGTTATTTTTCCAGATAATATGCATAAATTCATAATAATTCTCCAGTCTGTACTTTAGGGACAGAGAGCCGAAGAACAGTGAGAAACCTAAAAGAAGTAATTGGCTGATTAAAATTCTTCATCCAATATGTGTGTGTGTTTTTAATAAAAAAAATTTCGCAACTAGTCAGGGTAAGTGAACTACCCAGTGTGATTAGTGTCTAGTGGAAAAGAGGCTTATTTAAATGACGCAGGTATGAGGATCTCTGGCAGAGTGCTGAAGGAAAATGAGCTCTACACAAGACCTTGACTATCCTCAGATCTTATTTCAGTATACCAATGGGTTTTTGGTATCAAAGGTAAGAATTACAAATAATTCGTGGAAATTCTATGAAAACTCAGTGGTAGAAATTTCCAAACTTAATTGGGTGGTTATTTTAAATCTCAAAAAAGGAAAAGACTCAATACAAGTGTTCCCCATTTTAATCTCAGTCTCCTCATAGTTTGTCGAATTTTAACTTGAAAGAGAAAGGATGAAAGTTTGCAAAAACCAAAAAACCAAAAAACCTGTAACAGACATTTCCCTCAAGGAGGGCCCAACCCTGAGAAACTTTATTCAACCCTCTTGAATTTAGGGGCTTTGGGTAAAGGAAAACCAGATTTCAACCAAGTTATATTATTATAAAGTCTTCCAAATGACATTTTTACTAAATTGAAATTATCCACAGTTGTTCCAGTCTGTTTTGTTAATAGAATATCTGCATGTACTTTTAAATGTTGGGTTTTGACATAAACAGACCACAGATCCAAATGACTTTTGGTTTTGATTTTTGCAAAATCCAACCCCAAATAATACAGTTTTGCAAAAATATTCTCACCTACCGTGAATTTAGCATATATGTATTTACCTTGTGCTGAAAAATAGACTATAGCTGCTTAGTTATATTTTGGCAGATTGTATTTTGGGGCGGAGGGGAGGAAGGGATTACAGATATAGTTTTAATGACTGTCTTTCAAGAAACAGAAAGGTAGTATGGCAGAGGTGGAAACCCAAACAATTAATTTCCTCTTTTTAACATTTTTTACAAACCTATTTGGAACACTTGTATTTAATATTACCTGCTCTGTTAAAACCCAACATAGAAAAACAATGACAGGTTGAGTGTGTGTGTGTGTGTGTGTATGAGGGGGGGATTAAAAGCCCAATGAGTTTAGTTTTCTAAGCACTCAAAAATTCAGAGGATGGCCACCATTTTCAAATTCAAACTCTTGTAAAATATTTTGAAAGATAATCTGAATGTAATTTTTATTCCTCTGGATAATTTGTTTTTCTGAAGAGGAAAAGGGGAACTCTGTGGATCTTTGCAAAAGATCATGGTGAAAAGAAGATTAGAACTACCACATCTGGCATTCTGTTAAAGATTTTCTATGACAACAATAAAATTTACAATCTAGCATTTTTAATTCCATGCAAGATAGAAAGACATAAATACATTTGCTAGAATTCGGGCACAGGCTATTAGATCTGTGTAAGAGCTTCAAGGCTTATAAAATAGTCTCTGATTTTGATGCACAAGATTTTCATTAGGTTTTTTATGATATGTCCTTTAATCATACAATAGTGACTTTAACTGTGATATTTGAAGGGCCTATTCTAAATCTACAAGGGCAAAAAAAAAAAAATGCATACACAATAACTGGCCCTAATATGTGATCATTTTTATGGAAGAAGCAATGAAATTTAAGCAATGGTATCAGTGCTAACAGCAATGCAATTTAATCACAGCATTGTGATGGCCAAAAAACATGTAATGGTGGATTTTGCATTTCTTGTAGAATTTTCTCACATATGGATCTGTGCTCATCAGTGGGCATCTTCACATTCTTTTACCCCACTGCCCTCACCTCTGTTTACTTTCAGACTATGTTTACTGCCTGTGAATTGGGAGTCTTTGATCTCCTGCTGGAGTCAGAAGGACCCCTGCCTTCCAATGCCATTGCTCAATGTTTGGGCACCAGCACCTGTGGAATGGAACGGTTACTTGATGCCTGTGTGGGGTTAAAGCTCCTGGCAGTAGAAATGAAAAGTGAAGGAGGTAACATTGTCGGGAAGCGAGAAGACTAGTAATCGAGTTGCTGTTGGTTTTAAGGACTCATTAAACAGCTGAGTGATCATATTAAAAAGCAAAAATACCAGAATGAAGGAGGAGGTGTAGCATGATTTGAGTAATCTCAATGCAGCAGATTTACAAAGCCTAAACTTGGGTAGGAGTAAGAGTGTCAAACAAATTCATAGCTACTTTCCTATCTCTCCTAAGAACCTCTTTAACTGAATGGATGGACCAAATTCACAAGTAATATTAATTCATCATGAATAAATGAATTTGAGTCTAAGCAGCTGTAAGGGAATCTAAGAGCACATCTACATTATGGGGGTTTTCAATGAGGAAGAAGGGATCTCCTGAAAGAGGGGGATTTTCTGAATTTTGGCCCAGTGTAGAAGGGCCACATTTCAGAAAAGCCTCTTCCAAAAAAAAATCGGAAAAAGCTGTAGTGTAGACCTAGCCTAAGAAAGGGTTGTAAGATGCGTAATGAACAGATAGTGTAGTGGCCAGTATAAGGTATTAGTTATACAAATGTAGATTCCTTTAAACTCTCCTGCTAACTTGGCCAGTTGTCTTTATATCTTTATGTGAATTATTTTTATTTCATTACGTGAGGTTTCAGATTTCCTGATCTAAAGATATGAGGTTGGACCTCACCTGGTATACATTGGGGCCGGCCCGAGCCCTTTTGGCACCCTGTGCCCGGGCGCATGGCGCATGTTCGGGCCTGCCCCCCCCAGGGTGCGCAGGTCCACCTCCAGGGTGCACAGTGCATGCGTGCGCTGGCCACAGCCACTGGTGTGCAGCTCTGGGCCTGCCTCCGAGGCGCATGGTGCATGCGCTGCCCAGCCCGGCCCAGCGTGCACTGCTGGTGCGTGTACAGGGCCCCGTGGCCATCGGGGGGAAGGGCGCTGCTGGCCGGCACTGCGGGGCTGGCGCTGCGGGAGCCGGGCACGCGGCGTTTGATCGCAGCTGTAAGGGATACCGCGCGCCCCTTACAGCTGCCATCAAGCGCCCCTCATCGGTTGGTGCCCCGGGCAGCTCCCTGGCTCGCCCATGCCTCTGTCCGGCCCTGGCAGCACCAGTGAAGTTGACAGAGCTGTCTATGCTTATTTACATAAGAATGGCCATACTGGGTCAGACCAAAGGTCCATTTAGCTCAGTATCCTGTCTACTAAAAGTGGCCAATACCAGATGCCCCAAAGAGAGGGAACACAACAGATAATCCTCACACGATCCCTCCCCTGTCCTCCATTTTCAGACACTTACACCACATGAAGGTATCTCTGAGAGATTTAGAACAATAAATAACTTGTAACCTTGTCTCTGGATAATTTAAGCAATCTTCAGTTCCAAATGATCAATTTAAATTAGTCAATGACAAATGTATTTGTGCCAGGCCCCATGCATACAAACCTCTTCACAATCACTTTACTCACTTGAAACCTCTGAGTGCTCCTCGTGAATCACACCCGCGTGCTCTCAAGATCTCTGAAGACTCTGCACTGTTTTTCCATCACTACTGGTTGTCCTCTGCAGGGTAATGAGGAATAAGAGTTGGCTTGTTCCAGTTTAGCTTGATCCACATCCAAAATGGATTAAACATCATTGGAAAAGACACTGATACGCCACAATAATAGTTTGTCACCATGGGGAGCTCTTACCAAACAGCTATTCCAGTACATTTCATAATGTGGACAAACCCTGGGAAATCTGTGTCCTCTTCTGAAGCCACCTACATCCTTTCTATGGCAACCAACCCAGCTGGAGAACATAAATGAGGCAGCATCCACCTTCTAAAGGAAATGGAGTTGGATGCTTCAAAGGATTTTTTCTCTGTGGCTGGACGTAAAGCACACACACACAGAGACTGGGAAAATGGGGGGACAGGAAGGGAGGCTTCAAATACCCCTGTCTTCCCATCACAGATGGGAGGAATAGATTTAAAGGCTGATCTGGTTTTCATTGAATTCAGAAGTTTGCCTCTGCTACACCAGGGCTAACACATTCTATACTCACCCATATGTCTGTCCATTAAGGACGAGCAGCACAGTGGGGCTACGTCTACACTGCATGTTTATTTGGGAATAAATTGTTCCAGAAGAAATTCTACAAAGTAGCATATTTTGAAATAGTGTGTCTACACTATAGGGAAGCTTGGAAATAAGTCCAAGGCAGCCTCCCCTAAAGAGGCTGCACTACCTCAATTTAGAGCCCTAGAAAGCACTGGGGAGTAATTACTTGGAATGGCCTGGGGGAGGAGCTATTTTGAAATAGCAGCACTTGAGCGTCTGCTATTCTGAAATAGCTATTTTGGAAGAGGCGTTATTCCTCATGGAATAAGGTTTACAAATTATTTCAAAATAACAGTCTAGCTGTGTAGACGCTTGCATGGTTATTTTGGAATAACACTGCTATGTAGACGTACCTATGTAGAGCTTTGCATCTGTGAGATATCTTCCATAGTTAGCCAGTGAGAATACTGAGATCCAATAGCAGGAGATGGCCTCAGAAGTGTCTGAGCTATTCAAGTTAGGGTAATGGGTGCTATTATGTCCTGGGGACTTAACTCTCCCTATTGCTTTCCACATTGGGCAGAAAAAGACTGGGATGTTTAGCGTTATTGTTGAAATAAGATGTTTGATTGAGCACGCACACTAAACAGTCTAGTTGAAGAAGATGCCACGGCAGCCATTTGGCTTATACAATGTCCTTTTGCTCTTTTATAAAAGACATGCTGCTGCTGCTGATGGATGAACTTTTTGACATCCTGGAATCCACCATGCCAGTATGTGAAGAAGCAGAGGTGCAGATATGCTATACTATGCATCCATGCCCCTGGGGCCTCCACCACCTTTGGTCTATTTAGAACAGGGAATCTCCTGCAGTTGCTTTGTTGTTTTTGTTGCATTTCTACAGCTTGCTCTTGTTACGAAGATTATGCTGTAAAACAGGCTTTTCACCGTGACAAGGCTTGTCAATGTTAATTTGCCATCTTTCTTCCTTTTAGCCTTTTATAGAAACACAGAGCTTTCTAACCTCTATCTTACAAAAGCAAGTCCCAAGTCTCAGTATCATAATTTGATGTACTACTCCAAAACCATCTATCTGTGCTGGCACTACCTGACAGATGCTGTGAGGTAAGGAGAAATCTTATGTTGTTTGTACAGAATTCATATGTTAAGAACCATTGCAAGAAACTAGGAGGGCAGGATAGTTCAGTGGTTTGAGTGTTGCCTTGTTAAACCTAAGATTTGTGAGTTCAGCCCTTAAGAGGGACCATTTAGGGATCAGGGGCAAATCTGTGAGGGGTGATACTTGGTTGGGAGGGGAGGGGACTGGACTCAATGACCTCTCAAGGTCCCTTCCAGTTCTATGAGATGGGTATATCTTCATATAAAAAAACCCAGCTTGCTACACTTATGCACCTGCTCAGGAAGAGGTGTGTCTCTGAGAAAACAAGAGAAAAGGAAGACATATGTTATCCTCCTGGGTGTGTTGCTCTGTCTCATGTAGTGGTACTAAGGGTGTGTCTAGACTACCTAGTTTTGTCGACAAAAGTGGACTTTTGTCAACAAAACAATACCAGCGTCTACACTACCACGGAGTTCTGTCGACATAACGTTGACAGATCTCAGCAGTTTTGTTGATGGCGGTAAACCTCATTCTGTGAAGAATAACGCCTTTTGTCAACAGAGTTCTGTCGACAGAAGGCACTATTGTATCTACGCTGGCCTTTGAGTCTACACTGTCATGCCGACAAAGCGCCTTGCTTTGTTGACAGAACTGGATGTAGTCTAGACGCCGGAAGTTTTGTCGACAGTATCTGTCGACAAAACTTCCGTCGACAAAACGCGGTAGTCTAGACGTACCCTAAGACTGCTTAGAGACTGCTCTAGCATTAGCTAACAAGCATGTAGCTTTTAGCTCATATAGTACAGCCAGGCTCATGCATTTAGCTCCCAGTCTTCCAAGTTCAATTCTGCCTGCCAACCCCTAGGGTCTGTTTGCATTACAAGTGGAGGCTCATCTGAAATATCAATTCGGAAGTCTCTGAAGCTTGGGATTCACTTCCTCAGTTAAGGGAAGTATGGAACCCACATACCTTCTGGACATGGTGCTCTGTCCCATGTAGTGACATTGAGACAACTTAGATATTGAGTCTGCTACAGTGTTAGTTAACAGTTATGTACTGCGTAGCTCATGCAGTAGAAGCTTCTGCATTTAGCTCCAAGTTCAAAGACAGCCTGTGTCTATTGATGTTACAGGTTGACTGGTAATTGTTTCAGGAGCATGCTGACCTGCTAAGTATCCCTATTATTACATATGTGTATTTTTACTAGTGCTTCAGTGGAGGAATTGACTGCAGATTCAGAAAACACACTTCTGGCCTTTGCTTATTTGGTCTGTCCCGAGATGAATATTTGATCATGAGAGCAATTTCTGTCCTCAGCCAGACAGAGGATGAGAAATAGTGACTGATGGATGCCTACAGGGATTCTAATGGATTCTGTGCTAGCTGAGTATCTGAATCCTGTCTCTGGTACATCAAATACCTTCTCTGCCTTCTTCTTCTTAGTGGCTTCCAATAATGGACTTTAAATATTAACAGAGACTGATTTCCTTTCTGAGTCTTTTGGTGTGGCACAGACAGCTTTCAAAATGAGCCACGCAATCAAACAAAGGGCAACACTTGTAATGCCAAAGGTGATTTACATTAATAAGTTTAATAAAACAGGTACCTTAAGTCAAAATTGTCATCAATACATAAAATGTTAAACAAAAAAAGTGCTCAAAATTTTTATTTTTTTAAAGAGATGGGAAAAACCAGTACGAGCGAGCATTTGGTGTTTCATCAAAAGACCTCTTTGAGGCTCTCTACAGGTAATGATAAATTCAGTATTGAGATAATGTTTCTTTTTTTCTATCTGACTGTGAAATACGATTCACATGAAAACCCTTCATTTCAATAGTATCCCATGTTGAGAACCTCTGGCACTTCTTACATGTTTGTCACTTTAGTATCTAAGCATATAGTTGTTACTGGCAACCTATCATGACAAATAAATTATGTAAAGTAGTTCCTATTATGGAAAATTCTGTTTAATGACAAACATCTGAGGCTCCTTAGGCTTAGCATGATAACACACTGCTAGATGCTAAGTGTAATGGCATTTTCTTCCAGTAAGTCTCGTGAAATAAGTAAAAGGGTAGATTTATGTGTAATATTTTGAATAGAATCAGTAAAAGGGTGGATTTATGAATAATATTTTGAATAGCAGTAATGTAAGTGCTTTTAAATAGTGATTAAAGTAGTTTACAGTACATGCTGGCTAAGAAGCAGGGTTGAATAGAGTATTTGAACTAAATACTCTATTTAGTGGGAAAAATTGTATGATGTTAGCCATCAACAAATGTGTCCTAATGTATTTGTGCTACAATTGATGTTCTTTCAAATGATTAGATCAAAAGAAGAGATGATCCAGTTCATGTATGGTTTAAATGCAATTTGGAGTATATGTGGTAGAGATGTGATTGCAGCATTTGACCTTTCCCCTTTCACTGGCATTTATGATCTGGGAGGTAAGTGTCATCAGAACTCTGAAGTGTCTTTTATAATCTCTGGATAAATACTGCCCTCATTCTACGGCCCATGTGAGTAGTGGAAAAACAGGACAGACTTCATGGCCAGGATCAATCACAAGGGAAACATTGTCCATTGTGAGCCAAAGTTATATAAAATATGGAATTGATAAAAGCATTATAAAGTGGAATGTTTACCTCAGTCTAAAGGACTTCATATATCTGAGTAGAAACCTATTTGCCTCCTCATTGGTTTGGTAGGTTTTTTCCTGCCAGTGCTCAGGAAATTGTGCCAGAGCAGCTTCCAGGACATTCTTCATTTCATTCAGTGACTTTAGGATGATGAATTGCCTACATACTTCTTACCCCAAACAGCTTTGCCATTTTCTGTTTCAATCCTGTCAGAATTTACCAGACAATTTCCATTTTTACTTCTGCCTGGCTGTTTTGCTCTCCCATGTTTCTAAAACACACAAAGCAGAAATTAAATCCGACTAACAAAGGGGCGGACCGCTTTGGTGGGCCCCTAAGCAAGGTGTGGGGGTGATTGGCTCCATGGGCAGAAGGGACGGTGCTAAAGCAGCCAGACTTCAGCACCACGTGGAGTGTAGCATGCTCTTCTCCCCAGCCCTCAGAGCTCTGTGGCTCAACATTCTGGCAGCAATTTAAAAGGCTCAAGGCTCCAGCTACTGCAGTAGCAACAACTGCAGGGGGAGTCCCTGGCTCCTTTGAATCACTAGGCCCAGGCAACTGCCTCTTTGTCCCCCTCTGTCTGAGGGCCTGCTTCTCAGCCTCCAAGGCCTTTCAATATGTCTCAGATATGTATTATGTTTCCTTACAATGTTCAAAACAGGCCCTTTGCAGCTCTAGTCAGCATCCCGGATTGGACCGTTAAAAAGTCCAGTTGGTGGTTCACCCCTGCCTGCTATGGCTCCATGTAGCTCCTGGAAGCAGCAGGATGTCCCCCTCACCCAAGCTCTAGTCCTTATGCATAGGGACAGCCAGGGGGATCTGCATACTGATCTACAGCTCCCATTGCACTGAAACTGCAGCCAATGGGAGCAGTGGGAAAGTCACCTGTGCATGAAGCAGTTCTTAAAGCTGTCTGGCTGTGCCTTCACTTGGGAGCCAAAGCGGGGACATGTTGCTTCTTCTGGGAGTTGCTTGAGGCAAGTGCTTCGTAGAGCCTGCACTCCTTACCCTCTCCCATTGTCCAACTCCCTGCTCGAGCCATGATCCTCTTCCTGCCTTTGGAACCCTTCCATTCCAGCCTGGAGCACCCTATGGCACCCAAAACTCCTCATCCACAGCCCCATCTCAGAATCTAAATCCCAGCCAGAACCTCACACCTCCTACACCCTCACTCCCTGCCCAAGACCTCATCCCCCTGCCATTCTCTGAATTTCTCAATCCCAGCCTAGAGCACCTCCTGAACCCCCAATGCTACACTCCCAGCCCTACCCCAGAACTTGCATCCCTACCTGGAGCCCTCATACCACTCCATGTCCCAGACTCTTGCCCTAGGCCTGATCCCCCTCCCACATTCTGAACCCCTTGGGATCAGCCCAGAGCATCCTCCTATTCCCTAAACCCTTATTCCCAAGCCCTCCCCAGAGACATTTTCTCTCTGGGACTCGTTTTCCCATCTGTAGTATGGAGATAACAAGATGTGCCTCCTTTAGGAAGTGCTTCGATATTTATGGATTGATAGCACTCATAGATTTTAAGGTCAATGGGGTGCAAGAGGCTAAATGTTGTTCTTATGCTATAAGCCGGCTTAATGGTTGAAGATGGGAGCTTTAAAACAGAAGACTGGTTAGTCAATTCTATCTAGGGGAAATATCTGTGGTGATAGGTCACTCGTATTTTAGCTTTTAGTTTCTGCTAATCCTGGTTGAAATTTTTTCAGAATATTTTCATAAAATATTGACATTTCTATTTTGCAATGTTCAAAAGTTCCATGTATTTAACTTCTCACATTTTATGGTAACTCTGATATAATTGTTTTTCATTACCACTAAACAGCTTTTCAGTGAAATAAACTTCCAGATACTGTTTCGATTTTTTTTTAAGTCCTAAAATCTTTCACTTTTTTTTGTATTCAAAATGGCAATTTTTTTTAAAGACGAAAGCTCTTCCTTTGAAAATTTCCAGCAAGTTGCATCTGCATCACCTTGTGTTCTTTTCTTTTCTTTTTTTTTAATACCTTTTATAGTCCAGTGGTTAGATCACGGGACTGGGAGCCAGGAAAATTGGGTATTATTCCAAGGTAGAGAGAGGCTGGGAGATCAGGGAGAAATCACTTAGCTTCTTAGTAGCTTAGTTCCTTCTTCTGTAAAAATGAATAGTAACATTAACCTATCTCACAAGGCATCATGAGTCTGAGTTCATTGCAGTCTAAATTTCTTGATATTATAAAAATGCACATTATTATTACATTTGAGTAGTTACCCTCTATTTTGCTTTCACTGAAAGGAGGTGCAGGTGGTTTGGCCCAGGAATGTATTTCTTTGTATCCAAATTCTACAGTCACAATTTATGACCTACCTAAAGTAGTGCAAGTGGCAAAGGAGTGTTTTGTGGCCCCAGAAGAACGTAGGATCACTTTTCATGAAGGTAAGCTTGGTTCATTTTAGAAGTGTCCACATATAGTGAAAACTGTGCCAAGAGTTTCATGGCACCGGCGTATAATGAGCAGTGTGTGCCATTTGAGCATGGTTACTCACCATATATCAAGAGTTTGAATATTATCTCGCTTAAACAGCAACAGGGCAAAGAAAAAAAACAACTCATTCTGTGTCCTCTTTAGTCCTTCTCAGTGTCATGGGGAGAGGAAGAGGGGGAAGGATATTGCTTCAGGGAATGACTGTGGGCAGGTCCAAACCATGCAAAATTGTTGAAAAGTGTAGGTTGTGTAGATTAGTGCAATGTGACTGTTCACAGCATCCTATCAAGATGTCCCCATTACATTTGGATGGATAAATGCATCTGGAATTCTATTATAATATAAATTGTGCTGAGGCATGTTGCTTTTTAATGTTTATTTCTACTATTTAAATCAAAATAAATGCTCAATTGTGAGAGCTAGGGTGGAGGGAGGATTGGAGAGATATTGAAAAGGGGTCCAGTAAAAAAGGACAAAATTGGAGGGAGATGGAGAGGAAGAGGGAGAGAAAGAGACAGGAAGGGAGAGAAAGAGGGAGGGAGGGAGGAAGGGAGAGAGAGAGAGAATAAATAAATATGAAATGGGCATATATGCAGGCAGATAAAGACCTTTATCACCAAGAAGTCCAATACTAGGAGATTTGTCCATTGAGAGGGCTGTAACTTTTCTTTATTTGTATTACTGTACCTCCTAGATTGGATAAGGGATATTAAAATTAAATGAATGTACAAGAGGTGAAAATTTTTCTTTTTTTTTAAATTTTTTGGTTTTGTTTTGGTTCATCATCCCTTTCCATTTACTGAACTGTGTATACATTAATTGCTGTCTCTTCAGGGAAATTGTGAAGCACTAAAATGTTTTCCAAAGAATCAGCTATGTCTTTTAAATGTTTGACTGCTTACATTATTCAGACCTCTTCCACACTTAATATGAACAAACCCCTTCACACTAGCCCATGGCACTGTGAATTTTTGCCATTCAGTGTTAGTCACTGGTAAGCATCAACCCTGAGCACGACAAGCCAGAAAAATGTAATTTCCCAGGTTGCCTCTTGAGGAGTTTTGGAGCCAGCTTGTACTTTTTGCAATAGTTTAATTTGAATTTAAAATGGTGGCTTATTCAGCCCTGTTTTTTCTTTGTTTTCCTTTTGTTGTAGGAGATTTTTTTACAGATCCAATTCCAGAGGCTGACCTGTACATTGTGGCGAGGGTCCTGCATGACTGGGCAGATGACAAGTGTATGCAGCTACTAGCAAAAGTCCACAAGGCTTGCAAGACTGGTATGTATGTTGTCCTCTTTGCAAAATAGAGAATTATATACATTATTTGTTTAGAACAGTACATTTGGTTTTTTTAGAGTGTCATTTCATAAATGGTTAAGTAATGAAACATGCACTGAAAATCTTTTTCCTTTTAAGTCAGTGATTTGTATCCAGAACATGTAAGTGAAAATGGCCAATGTGAACATTGTCACAATTGGTTTCTAGGCCTGGGCATTTTACTTTGGACCTGCAAAATCAGATATTTAAAATTGTTTTGCTGCCTAATGGGGTTGCCAGGTATCTCTAGGATTTTTGAAAATTGCCAGGCTGCTATGGGACTTGATTTTCAGAGATGCTGAGGAACCAAAGCTCTAGTTCATTTTAGCTGGAGTAAATAAATGTTTCAGTCACAGCAAAGAGATTTCAATTCACTCTATACTTCAAGTACAGGAAATATTAACTGATGCATAGAATCTTGCTTGCTATTTTATTAATGACTGTAGAAGTAAAACATGATTTTTCTTTTCATATAAAGGGGATCATCAAGGTTATGGAAACCTCTAAAATGCAGTTGGAAAAGAAGATTCAATCAATGTGTTTGTTTTAAAATCTCTTTATTCTACCAGGTGGCGGAGTGTTGCTGGTTGAAACACTTTTGAATGAAGATAAAACTGGGCCTTTGGAAACACAGCTTTACTCAATTAACATGTTAGTTCAAGCTGAAGGAAAAGAAAGAACACCAACCCAGTACAGCACATTCCTCACAGCAGCTGGATTCAGAGAAATTCAAGTCAAGAAAACAGGAAAACTCTATGATGCCATTTTAGGAAGAAAATAATTCTTTTTCGTTCTTCTCCACTGTTAGATATATACAAGCAGTGAAGTGATCAGTTTCTACTAGACTGCAGCAATGAACCTGGTTCATAGTTAAGCTTGTCACTTTCTTTGTAAAACAATAAACTATTAGAACATTCACTTATTATATATTTTGAGCTTACAGAGGATTAATGATCTGCCACTTTGAACGTGACTCTTGTTTGGCTTTGTACTCTAATTGGGGAAATAAAGTCTCAGAGGGGGATGCTCATTCATTTTGAGCTACAGGTACACTGTAGACGTACCCTAAGAATCTTGTACAATGTATAATGAATGTATAGTGTGGAGGCCAAAATATTAGTTACACCAATTTTGAGTTCTTTAAAATCTTCTGCTTGCGTGGGCAGTTTTCTTTCTATTTGTATGTTAATTTCTTTATTTAATTAAGGGAAGGCTTAGATTTCCTTATCTAATGATATAAGGTCAATTGCTGGTATCAATTGCTTGAACTTCATAGAATTTGGCAAAGCTATGCCTGTTTACACTGACAGATGGTTCCGATCTCTACAGTGTGTAGTCTACTTTAGAAGTATTTCCAGATAGCTTAAGAAGAGATGTGTTCAGACAAAGTATCCCTGAAGGCAAACCCTAGGCACAGAAAGAAGCGTCTTTACTATGTGTTCTCTGCTTTCAGCCTGACTTGTATAGTCAATACAATATCTGATATGCAGAAATGAGGAGAAACTCCCCTAGAGAGCAGGAAATGACTGTACCAGATATAGTATCGATTTACTTTTCCTAAACTGTTGTATTCCAAATGCAGCAAAGATTGGTGGATCTTTCTGTAAATTCCACTCACATATCTTGCTAATAGAAGCAATAGTAGCGTGCTTTAAGGAAACAAGGACATTGCTTTTAGAAATGATGTGTGTTAAACATAGGAAACATAGAAATGTTGTTTTGAGAGGCATTTCAAAGAGTAAATGACTTGTAACATTGCCTATAGGAAATGTAAGACATCTACAGTTCCAAATTATCATTTAAATTAGTCAATGAAAAATGTAATCAGCCTTTGGGCCAGGCCCCTGCATACAACCTACTTCACAAGCGACTGGGATTTTTCAGTTTAGAAAAGAGGAGACTGAGGGGGGATATGATAGAGGTGTATAAAATCATGAGTGGCGTGGAAAAGGTGGATAAAGAAAAGTTATTTATTAGTTCCCATGACAAAAGAACTAGAGGACACCAAATGAAATTAATGGGGAACAGGTGTAAAACTAATAAAAGAAAGTTGTTCTTCAGACAGCGTGTAGTCAACCTGTGGAACTCCTTGCCAGAGGAGGCTGTGAAGGCTAGGACTATAACAGAGATTAAAGAGAAGCTAGATAATTTCATGGAGGTTAGGTCCATAAAAGGCTATTAGCCAGGGGATATAATTGGTTTCCCTGGCCTCTTTTTGTCAGAGGCTGCAGAGGGATGGCAGGAGACAAATCTCTTAATCATTGTCTTCGGTCCACCCTCTCTGGGGCACCTGGTGCTGGCCACTGTCGGCAGACAGGCTACTGGGCTAGATGGACCTTTGGTCTGACCCAGTAAGGCCGTTCTTATGGTAACCCTTGTACCTTATCTGAATAAAATAGGTACCTAAATAAGTCAAAATTTCCACCAATGCTCTAAGGTTTTACAACAAAAGTACCCTATTTTTTTCTTTAAGAGATATGAAGAACCAGTAGGAATGAGCATTTGGCATTTCATCAGAAGATCTTTTTGGGGCTCTTGGTGGGTAATTATCAATTTAGTGTTGAGAACTGGATACTTTTCTTAATGTGAACACCTTCTGTACTTTGAATTATCCTTTTGTGAACAGTGATGTTTAGTTCTAGTCACATGAAAAACCCTCCCTTTTAATGGTATACATTGTTGAGCGTCTCTGGTTTATATTAATATGTTTGTCACATTGGTGTCGAAGCATGGCATTCTTACTGATGACTTAGCATGAGAAAATTGCTATGTACAAAAGTTAGTATAATGGAAAATTCTGCTAATTGAAAAACATCTGGGGACCCTTCAGTTTATCACACTGCTCAATAATAAATGTATCAGGCTTTCCCTTCAGTAAATGTCATAAAATGTAGGGATATGAAACAGGGTGGATTGATTCCTAATATTTTAAATATCTATTAAGGCACATTCATTTTAATGGTGGTCAGAATAGACTTTTGTGCATGCTGGCAGAGTTTAATACATTATTTTCATCTAAAAACAAAAGCATTATGTAATGCTAGACAGCAATGAATGAGTCATAACTTACTTGTGTTACAAAACATGTTCTTTCAAATGACTAGATCAGAAGCAGAGATGATAAAATTCACCCATTTCTTGAAAGCATTTTGGAGTATATCTGATAGAGATGTGATTGCTGCATTTGACCTTTCACTGTCATTTGTGATCTTGGAGGTAAGTGTCATCAGAACTTTGAAGTGTCTTTTATAATCCCTGGATAAATACTGCCCTCATTCTACGGCCTGTGTGTTACGCGCACAAATTTCTCTAACCTTTCCACTCTGTAGGGACACACACCTTTACCCTGTTCCTACGGCTCAAGGGGCAACCCTGTTAATTTACACACACACCTTTACCCAATTCCTAGGGCTCAGGGTGCATCTTCCTGTGGGTTTTGCAGGATCTTTAGCCACTGAGAGAGTCTCACACAGTAATATCCTTATCCTCTATTTATTGACAATTCCCAAACAAGCAGAATACACATGCTAAGCACAGTGTCATGCTCACCAGCAGGGCCAGCCTTAGGCCAATTCCTCCCGTTCCCCTGAATCAGGCTCCATGCCCTGAACCCAGAAGCATGGGCAGCAGAGCTGGATGCCCTGCTCCACCAATATGTGGAGCTGGGTCTCTCCCCCGGCGCTGCCTGGAGTGGGCCCTGGCCCCCCCCGCCACGTGTCCTCCCACCCCAGCCTCAGAGCATCCACCCCCGTCCCCAGCCTGTCCCTGCCATGTGCAGCTTTAAGTCCGGCTCCCCCTTGTCAGCATGCACTGCTGGCTGCTATTACAATGTGCGGCATTCCCAGGTGAGCGGGGATATGCCCGGGCATGACGTGATGTCACAGCCCGGGACTTTAAAACTTCTTGGCGTGGCATTGCGCCATGTGGCTTAGCTCCGGGTTTGGAGTCCGGGGATTTCTGGGGCCCGAGCACAGACTCCGGCCCCACAAAGTGGAAGGCAGAAAATAAGGTAAGGTAGGGAGTGGATGAGGGGGAGGAAGGGGCTTGTGAGGAAAGGGAGGGAGAAAATAGGGGAAGGGGCTTGTGAGGAGGGGAAGGGGGAAGAAAGGGGAAAGTATCAAGGGGCAGGCCAGCCCCACAAACTGGAAGGCAGAAGATGGGGGAAGGAGTGGAAGAGGAAGGGACTTGTGCTGAGGGGAGGGGGGCAGGTCAGAAGAAAGGGGAAGGCACCAAGGGACAGCATGGAAGTGAGACAAATGCCAGGGGGCCAAGTGGAGACAATGAGGAAAAAGACAGGAGGAGAGGTGTCAGTGGGAAGGGGGACAGGGTGATGCTGGAAGAGGAGAGGTTAAGTGCATTGGGGGCTAGAGGAGGAGGGGGAGGTGCTGGGAGAAGGCTTGAAAGAAGGAGTGGGCATGAGACAGGCAGAGATGGAGCAAATCATGTGTGAGGGCACAGGGGCATGAGGGGAATGGAGGCAGAGAGTGGTGAGGGAGTGGGCGCCAGGGAAAAAGAGGGCAGGGGCAGTGAGGGAAGGGGGAGGCACCAGGAGGGTGCAGGGGTAAGAGAAGGTGCAGATGCCAGGGGATTCTGAGGGTGAAGCAGAAGGGCAGACACGTGCAGGGGAGGGACCAGCACGAGAGGAGAGAGGCAGGGCAGGTTTGTAGAGAGAGGTGTTAGAAGAGGGGATGAGGATGGGTAGCTCACATGATCAGAGTGGGGCTACTGGAGGAGAGGGCACAGGGGGCAGAGAAGGGCTGGTGGAGGGGCGCAGGTTGCAGGAGGTCTGAGGGCAGTGAGAAGGGCAGGGGTCAGGACAGCAGAGGAGGGTAAGGAGTTGGGGGGCAGCAGGCAGCAGGGAAGCTGATGGAGCAAGTAGAGGAGACATGGCAGCAGAGGGAAAAGAGAGAGGTTTATAAGATATTTATTAATAACTTGGGTGCCACAGTGGCACATCCAAACAAGCCACCTTAATTGATTTACACCTAGCAAAATTAATTATACAACAGACAGAAACAGTTACAAACCAGACAGAGATCACACAGACAAATAATAGGAAAGTGTAATGATAGTGATCATAGAATGAGGATTCCACAACATTCTCTATTGATAAGCAGTTTCTTGCCAGGCAGAATGGCGTTACTTAAGTTTTCTTTACCCATCCTGAGATCTGTTTCTTTATCTGGTGACAGTAGGGGACCTATCAGGGCAAAGTCCCCTCCTCACAGCCCCGTGTGACACTTTTTAATACAAAATAGATGGAATGTGAGTATGTGACTCCAGGCCTTACATTTAATGGCTGCTGCCAAAGTCATAAAATATGGAAATGATAAAAAATTAATTATAAAGTGGAATGTTTTCTTCAATCTAAAGAGAGAAGCCTATATGCCTCCTCATTGGTTTGGTAGGTTTTTCTCCTGCCAGTGCTTAAGAAATTGTCTCTGAGCAGCTTCCAGACCTTTCTTCATTTCATTCAGTGACTTTAGGATGATGGATTGCCTACATACTTCTTATCCCAAACAACTTCGCCATTCTCTGTTTCAATCCTGCCAGGATTTATAGCACCACATAATCTCCATTTCTATTTCTGCCTAGCTGTTTTGCTCTCCTATGTTTCTAAAATACAGACAACAGAAATCAAGCTTGGCTAATCTGTTCTCACTTCTCACTCTGTAAAGCCTTTCAGTGGCCTGTGCATTATTTTTCCTTGCAAAGGCCTTACTTATTATTTTCTGACTAATACTGATGACACTTTTCTGCAGGAGCTATGCTTTGCATTCGGATAGCCTGTGCCAAAGTAGTTCCCTTATGGCAGCAAATATAGCCCTTCATTTTGGCTGTCAATTTCTGGAGATATTTTCAGTCATACCAGTCACTTCTGTGTATTTCACAGTTTCTTGCCATTTCAACCAGAAAGGACATTGTCTCAACGACTTAATTACCTGCATCCTGCTTCAAAAGCCTGTTAAGACTGCACTTGAAAGAGAATCCTCTGAACAGTTATTCATTGTGACGAGGTGGGCCCCCCCCCTTTCCCTGGAAACGGGCCCACCCCGCACTGACCCGGCAATAGCGCTGTCCCTGCTAGGGAGGCACAGACAGACACGGCCGGTCTGTGAGCCGTGCAGCGCTGCCCTGCACGTAACGGCTCACATGGACGCCCGCGTTGCTAGGCAACGCGATCCGGCGTCCCGAGACAAGATGGCGGCCGGAAGTGACGTCAGACGCCAGGGGAAACTGGCGGGGGAATACAAAGGACGGGGTTGTGGATACAAGGGGGGGAGGGCGAGCAAGGGAGAAAGGGGGAGAGCAAGGGAGTTGGAGGAGGGGAGTGCGAAGGAGGGGTGGACGAACGGGCTGAGAAGAGAGGGAGAAAGAGTGAGAGGGGGAAGCTACTGAAATAGATAAATTAGGCCAGCAGGGTGGAAGCAGCCCAGGGCAGGGCACGGAGCCGGCGCACCGGTGGTTTAGGGCATAGCCCCTCCGGTGGGACAGGTCAGGCTGACTCTGTCCTTAGGGCCCTGGGCTGGGGTCTGGGAGTGAGGGTGGGCCCAGACCCCCCACCCTGCCAACCCGCAACCCAGTCCTCTCGTTGCGGGAATTAAGCAAGGAACTTACCACAAGCGCATGCGGCAACTAACTAACTCAAAGGGGGGGGACAGGTGAACCCCCACATTCATGCTAAAATTCGACACTTTACGCCGGGGTCTTAACGAAGACTCTAGTTATCTTACCCATTACAAAGATTGCTTCCCCAATTATCACCTCTAATATCATTAGCTCACTGACTTAAACCCCCCCCCCCGTATCCCTCTTCTGTTCTGAAATTTGATTTGTCCTTTTCATATGTGTTCATTTTTTTAATTGTATCCTTTGGTATATATGGTAGTGACTATTTTCTTCCACTATTTGA